AATTGTAACATTTTCTGGTAATTCTCAATCTTTTAAAATCTCAAACAATCTTATTCATAACCAAAGCAGCTCTTGTTTGTCCTTCCCGATGTCTCACTTTTTAATTTTTTTTAATGTTTTATTTATTTTTTGAGACAGACAGAGCATGAGCAGGGGAGGGCAGAGAGGGAGACACAGAATCGAAGCAGGCTCCCGGCTCTGAGCTGTCAGCACAGAACCCAATGCAGTGGGCTCGAACCACAGACCGCGTGAGATCATGACCCAGCTGTGAAGCCGGATGCTCAACAGACTGAGCCACCAGGCACCCCTCTGATGTCTCACTTTAATCTCACTGTCTCACATCTTTGGCTGCCTCAAAGCTCTTCTCTCTGTGACTCAGCCTCTATCTAAAACTCTCCCTACAAGGCTCTTCTTATTTCTCTCCTTCCACTTTTCTACCTCCATTTTTTTTCTCTCCCTCTCTCTTCTTCCAATGAATCAATCTTGACCCTTTCCAATACAAAGCCCCCATTGAGTTCCCCATTGAGTTAGCCCAATCCTCTTCATAAAAACACATAACTGGAGTTGGCAGCATACAAATTATCTTTGAGACAGGAGTGGAATGGGAGAAGAGAAAAGAAGGCTCTAATTCTCACATGCTATTAATTTTACAAATTATATAAAAATGGTACTTAGCATAGAGAACCCATAAGTAAATGGAAAACAGTAGACAGGGAAGATGAGTGACTGGTGAGAGACTTTTCCAACAGAAAGTGTTAGCCTTGCAAAGAGCAAGAAGATTGGAAAAATGCTTACAAATTTAGAAATCCAGTGGAAGCAGTGATGAAAACTTGTGGGGAAGGGTGAAGCTTAAATTGGAAAGAGAAGTGTAAGATTTTCACATTTGATTCAATAGAGGTGTAAAAAAAATAATTGTGATGTCAGAAGGCTGACAGAGCACAGTTGGAATCTGGCCAGAAAAGACCAAGCTAATGTGCATTACAAAGCACGTGTTTGTACAAGTGCACCAAGAAGCATAAAATACCTAGGAATAAATCTAACCAAAGATGGAAGGATCTGTATGCTGAAACCATAGAAAGTTTATGAAGGAAATTGAAGAAGATATAAAGAAATGGAAAAACATTCCGTGCTCATGGATTGGAAGAATAATGTTATCAAAATGTCAATACTACCCAAAGCTATCTACACATTCAATGCAATCCCAATCAAATTGCACCGCATTCTTCTCGAAACTAGAACAAGCAATCCTAAAATTCATGGAACCACAAAGGCCCGAATAGCCAAAGTAATTTTGAAGAAGACCAAAGCAGGAGGCATCACAATCCCAGACTTTGCTTTCTACTACAAAGCTGTCATCATCAAGACAGCATGGTATTGGCACAAAAACAGACACATAGACCAATGGAATAGAATAGAAACCCCAGAACGACCTAGACACAAACGAGTGGCCAACTCATCTTTGACAAAGCAGGAAGAACATCCAATGGAAAAAAACAAGACAGTCTCTTTAACAAATGGTACTGGACAGCAACAGCAGAAGATTGAAACTAGACCACTTCTCATACCATTCTACAAAATAAACTCAAATAGATAAAGGACCTGAATGTGAGACAGGAAACCATCAAAACCTAGAGGAGAAAGCAGGAAAAGACCTCTGATCTCAGCCATAGCAATTTCTTACTTGACACTACATCCCCTCTTCCCAAAGACAAGGGAATTAAAAGCAAATGAACTACTGGGACCTTATGAAGATAAAAAGCTTCTGCACAGCAAAGGAAACAACCAACAAAAAAAAAAAAAAAAACTAAAGGCAACCAACAGAATGGGAAAGATATTTGCAAATGACATGGACAAAGAGCCAGTATCCAAAAATCTTAAGAGCTCACCAAACTCCACACCCAAAAAACAAATAACCCAGTGAAGAAATGGGCAGAAAACATGAATAGACACTTCTCTAAAGAAGACATCTGGATGGCCAACAGGCACATGAAAAGATGCTCAACACGATAAGCTCCTCATCAGGGAAATACAAATCAAAACCACACTCAGATATCACCTCACGCCCAGTCAGAGTGGCCAAATGAACAAATCAGGAGACTATAGATGCTGGAGAGGATGTGGAGAAACGGAACCCTCTTGCACTGTTGGTGGGAATGCAAGTGGTGCAGCCACTCTGGAAAAAAACAGTGTGGAGGTTCCTCAAAAAATTAAAATAGACCTACCTAATGACCTTCCAATAGCACTGCATTCAGCATGCTAGGAATTTAGCCAAGGGATACAGGAGTACTGATGCATGGGGCACTTGTACCCCAATGTTTATAGCAGCACTCTCAACAATAGCCAAATTATGGAAAGAGCCTAAATGTCCATCAACTGATGAATGGATAAAGAAATTGTGGTTTATATACACAATGGTACTGTGTGGCAATGAGAAAGAATGAAATATGCACTTTGTAGCAACATGGATGGAACTGGAGAGTGTTATGCTAAGTGAAATAAGCAATACAGAAAGACAGAAACCCTATGGTTTCACCCTTATGTGGATCCTGAGAAACTTAACAGAAACCCATGGGGAGGAAGGAAAAAAAAAAGGTTAGAGTGGAAGAGCCAAAGCATAAGACTCTTAAAAACTGAGAACAAACTGAGGGTTGAATGGGGGGGGTGGGAGGAGGGTGGGAGGTGGGTATTGAGTGAGGAGGGCACCTTGGGGATGAGCACTGGGTGTGGTATGGAAACCAGTTTGACAATAAACTTTATATATTGAAAAAAAAAACAAAGCACGTGTTTGGAAGGAAAAGAGAGAATTCTCTTTAATTCTGGAGATAGAGAGGAGGTGGAGAGGTCTCATCATTTTAGATAAGCAACATTGAACTAAACTTGCTTCATATCAGGTAAATTGGGAGAATAACTGAGTTGAGTACATATAAATGCTACATGAATAGGCCACTGACTGCTAGTTTGTTTTCCCAAACAAGCAATGCAGTAAATGAAGTAAATGCAATGTAGTAAACTATCTTTTGCAAATATAACAATTTGGATGATTTCTCTTGTAAAAAGGGCACTGAAGCCAACCCTGAGAGCAAGTTTGTGATTTCAACCTTTTTTTTTAAGTTTATGTATTTATTTTGAGAGAGAGAGAGAGACAGAGAGAGCACACAAGTGGGGGGGGGA